TACATTAATTTTATTGATTAAATTCAATTCTATTAATATTTTCAAATTGGTACAATGTCTCCATATATACTTCATTAACGGATGTACTTGATTTAACAAATGCAATGTTAGCATTGTATTCAAATGTAATAGTGCAATACATTACTAAATAATAGCAAAGGTTTTCATTTATAGAATACAATAGCATCTGGCATACTCCACGCTTATTATCAACATGATGAAAGAGATATAATGTCATTGTGACTGGGCAAAATATTGTTTGTAACCTGCAAAATATTCTTCAAGTACAAATCTCTGTAATAAATAAATACAGTAATTAATTCACTTGACTAAAAAATAAAGTAATTGTGAAACAAACAATTACTTTTCAAGTTTACTTTTCTTTATTAGGCAAATCTGTGAAGCAGTATAATATATGATAATGACTTATGTGAAGAATTATTTATAATTATAGAAGATTATAAAAGTAACGATTCCTTGAACTATTTTTATTAATAATAAATTATTTTAATAATTTGAATTGTATTAATGGAAAGAGGACCTAATGGGTCACGTTTTACCAACCTTTTCATCAGTTTCATTACATGGAACAATGAAAATTTGGGTTATTTTTGTGTTTATTTTTTAATACTACGCTTAATTTAATATCTTATTAAAATATAATTTTTTCCTCTCATAACAGATTCATTACACTTAATTTTTTAAATAGAAAGTATTATCTTACTTTTGCAAGAATCTACTAATTCTAGTAAGATTGAGCAAATAATAATAAATAAATAACAGTACTTTGGTGGAGATCATATAACAATAATTCGAGAGCAATAGCCAGGTAATAGAGTGGAGCAAATCTATGAAATTTATATAAGAAAACATCAGTAAACTACATTGTCAAGTTGAACGGTATAGGAATAAATTAGTGACTATCGCGGTCCTATAACAGAGGAGAGGCTCTGGATCTAGTCACGTAACCTCTTTTAAAAAAAGTATTGTTGTGAGTTGCAATATGGCCTATTATCTATTGAAAGTAAATGTGTATGAAGAAACACAGTATCAAGAAACTATTAGCAGAAGCAACATTGAACAGAAGAGACAATGAATTAGCAATATCGATCGAAACCGGTGATGAGACAACAGAGCGAGTCTATTTAATTGTACAATTATGATTATTTAATTTAATCCATTATTACAAAAATTATTACGGAATGATTTGTAATATAGTTACAAAATAACATTAAAAAAACACATTCTATGGTTTTATATAGTAGTAAACCCTAAAAGTTAAAAAGAACTGGTAACAATTAAACAGGATGGGAAAAAAACCGTCTGGTGTTTAAATTTAAAAATAAAATAAATAAAAGTACTGTTTTTGAGGGTCCGGCTTACTTAGATTACGTGGTTTCAGGAGTATGGCTCAATTGTCTGGCTACAGAGTAACCCAGAAGGTCCAGGGGTTTAAAATTTGCCAAATATTGGGTTACGTTGTTTGTGGACGTTTCCTAAATCAAATAACAATGGCGATTAATCTCACTGTTATACGATTTTACTCGACTTTATATAATCAAACTATTAAGTTTTTAATAATCATTTAAGGACAGTATTTATTATATTTAAATGTTCCTGAACAGAAAAAAAATCCTTTTATTAAATATTTGGTCCTTACACTAACTAATTAATATGTGTATCTCGTTTTGTTTAAATATTTTAGAGAATTTCTCTGGTTTTAAGAGATTTTAGTAAAAAAAAATAAATATATATATTTAAACTCTTACGGTATTACTAAATGAATAAAAGTAGAAATGAATACCCTTCCCGCGATAAGACCGTAACTTCCAATTTGTACCACTGCAATCTTATCTTCGTTTCCGTTTCCATTTCGATGAATCATCAAGTTTATAATTTCAGTACGGCGTTATACGGCATAGGAAAGCAATTTAAAATTGCAGCTAGAATCCTGTTTTCCATATTGTATAACAAATTGAAACTCTTGTATAAGTCAGTATCGAGTGCAGGTAGTGCAACCTTCCTAGCATGTTCTGTAACGATGGTTTCATGTTATGATGCAATGAATAACTTTATTGTCGTTTAATGTAAGCGAAACTCAAGTTAATTAGTAAAATTCAATTATCATTATTATAATACCTTAAGAAGAAATAGGAAACAATTGTATACAAGTAGTTTACCGAACAATGAATGTATCTTATGTAAATGGTACTGAAGAATTGAAAAAGAATATCAACTTGTTATAAGTAATTTAGTTTTTCAATTGTTAAGTTAACAAAAAGTATAACAGAATTTATTTTTATTTTTAATGCTCTGTTAAAAAAAAACAAATACGATAGAAGTGGGAGGTTAATTTTTAACTTTAACCAACGGAATTATCCCAATTAACCCCCATGGAGACAAAATTTAAAGTTTGAAAATAAAAATATATCTTAATACTGATTATTTTTTGATACCCTATTTCATGGCATCCTTCGTCATGGGCCCTGTGCCAAAGCCATCGAGGGCTTTTATGGTGCCTAAGATTAGACCGGGCTCCTTTTGCCTCGTAGAAGGCCCCTTTAATCTTTTGTTTTTTTGAATCATTACGAGCCTTAAGTTTTTTCCGGATCCACGACTCTGATATGCGCTCCTGTTGCACCTGCCTAATTACGGAACTGATTATAAGTGATTATTTCATTAATAAAATATTGTATTTTAAAAATTTTCACAAAGTATAGAAATTTCTTTCGTTTTGATGAATTTAACGATGCAATAAACATACGAAGCTACAAAAACCAAACTGATTATGAGATGACTACATATTCATTCTTCCATTTAGTTCCATTTAAACTTGGCAGAACCAGTTTTCCCCGTTTTAAATTATACTACGAAATTCTTTCCCCCTTTCATTGTGACTTATTTTGTTTTAAATTTAGAATTTGCATTTAAGGTCGCAGTTTTTATATAGAAATCCAGTTCATTTTCAAGTCGAAGTTACTCGAATAGTTATCAATTTATACATTAAATTTATTTCGTACGGATGTTAAAACACATTTACGAACAATTTATTATAATAAAAAATAATTTAGTGTCTCTTGCTACTTAATTTAGTTCTTTAAAATATATATATTTACAATGTATTGTGAAACTTTAAATAACTGAGAAGCGTGAGGTCACGCTATTGTAATTTTGGTAACCTGAACGAAATAAAGTTATCACCTGCTTTTAAAAATATTTATAAATATAGAATTGCTATAATAAATTATATTACTCTTTATATTTTTAAATTTATTGATAAATAATAAAATATTTTAAGTAATATTTATATATATTATATCGTTTATCAGCAAGATGATGCTAGAGAGATCTTAATATGCGGTTCTGGGGTCTTCGGTAATGTAATCTTATCTTTCTTTTTTTTCGGCTCGTGGCATTATGCAACCCAAATTAAGCTGATATTCATTGCAGACCATCATTTATTAAAAGTTTTTCATCTAGATTTGTTGGATTACAATTTGAAAAATTGTAGATCTATAAATTTATACTGGAAGGGAGTTAGAGATGATGAACGTCGAGACTTGGTATAGAAACCTTAGGGACAGGAGGCCCAGGTTAACTATATACAAACTTCCGAAATAAACTTGAAATCATATTATACTGATTTTATTTATTATTATTCTTTTATTATCAAAAAATGCATTTCNGTTAAAAATCTGACATTTCTTAGATCAGATAAGGATATTGATAGTTAAATATGATACATAAGATTCGAGAAGTGTTCTTTTATTTTTAAATAAATAAATTTAATTCCTCTATTATATAACATCCTCGTTATTAAACAAAAAGAAAAACTGATCCTGGCCTATTTTATAAAGTATTCACGTTATTAAATAACTAGTGTAATATTTACAATACATTAATAAATCTGTAATAATAATAATACTTAAACACTTATGAACTTAAAAATAATAAATTTTACTGTATAATTTTAATTATTTTAAATATTAAAAACCTTTATTAAATTTTTTTTCTAAATGAAAATCCACATAATTATAATTTTATGAAAGAAAAATATGGAGCGACACTTAAAATTATTTTTTCTTTCTGTGTAAAAGTTAAGGTTAAAAAGATTTAATCTCAGTTTACATTAAAATGGGTGCTTCACTTTGTTTTAAAAGATCGTGAAATAGTAGACAAAACTTATATAAATAGAAATTATTTTTTTTTAAAGTAACCATTAACAGACTTCTAGCAGCTGTGAACGGTAAAATGACAACGATATCACATTTAAAGATCGGTTCATTCCAGTACCACAAGTCGAGTACCAATCTACTATTAAAAAGTAACTTAAAATTAGCAGACAGGAAATTAAATACGGTAAATTAAACACAATTAGGAAATTTAGAAACCCGAATTTATCTATTTTAAATATATTTTCCTGTAGTAGTGTCCTATTTTAATACAGAATATCACGAAAACTTCTGAAACATGGATGACAATTGACGATTTCCGATTAGTTCTACCTGTGAAATATGAAACAGTTGATGATATTTTATGTCTATTTTATTCTGTTTATCTATGTCATTTTGAGAATTTAGTTAGAGGTAAATATATATATTTGTTTAATCTAATTAAATTTCCACACAAAGATTATATTGCAAACTGAAAATGTGATCGAAAACTTATAATTTAGTATCTAATTTTATATACGTTACATATAGGAAGTGTGTTAGAAATGTATTTTCAATAATGGTGTATCTGGAATGTTACATTAAGATGGCTTTTTTGTAATTGTTGTAATAACTTCCGCAATATCGGTTCTCCTTCGCATGACTTCCGTTTCAAGCTATAAATATAAAATTTTTGGTCATTATAAGGTGCAGTTGTAGGATATATTGGATATGAAAAATGAATAACTTTTCTTATAATAATACAGATAGATATAAAGTAATAAATAAACATGGGAAGTTGAAGTGTAAATTTTTATTTTTAAAAAGCACCAAAGAAGTTCTGCTAAAAAATGTATAAAAATAAAATCATTTTATTATGCATAAAAGTATACATATAACATATAAGACTTGAGAAAATGATAGAAAATTCGAATCTATTCCGTAGTTTATAAACAGAAACGTATTGTGCTGGCAGAAACACAGTCGTTCTTCGTTCTCCATTGTCAGCAGTATAGATGCGAGAGCAGAATTCTAACTAAAAATTCACTAAAAATTCTAACTTTTGTGAGTGAGAAACTCAGCAATTACTATATATTTTGAATATTTGGATTTTTGCTCAGGAATTAATCATGTTTTCTCTAAAACAAATCCGTCCAACTGATTTTTGGCCTGTTTGAAAATCTTCCACTGCTTCTCAGTAGACAGACCGCTTTCTTCAAGATTAAAAACTGAACTGTATAAATTCCTTTAACACGTCTTCTTGTTTTAATAGATTTTTTTCAAGACAGTTATGGTATTTGTCTTTTCTAATTCATAAACTCTTAATAGCATGGATTTTACTGGCTGTTAACGGACCGAAGAGAATGTTCAGCACATACCTTTTTAGTACATCCATTGTATTTTTTCTTCCACAATAAAAAGACTGGGTTATTTTCCTACTATTCCTTGCATATTTTTTGAAAGTTGCTTCGTATGCAGCCCGCACACAGCTTTTCCATAGCGTGCTCTGGTCAGGGAGTGCTTGGTATACTCTTCTAGAAAGATTTTATACTTTTCTTTTTGAGGTCATAAGCGAGCGTCTATGGCATCAAAAATTACACAGTAAAAAGATATTTTCTTTTATTATTATTTAAGGTTTTATATTATTTTTAATATAAAAAAATAACACTTATATAAAGGGCCTTATAACAAAACTGCGCCTAGGATTCTTAAAGAAACATAACCCGCTACTGTTAAGAGACTGTAGTAGCTACTATCAAAATACATGTAGTTTTAAATTCTGAAGTTAAAAGTATAAGAAATAAACTTTATTTAAGAAAATTCTTTCTTAAAGCAAACCAATACAGATGTTTTTAAAGAAATGACAGCCCAACATTTAGAAAGTCGTACTTGTTAATTCGACTCATAAATTATTCTAGATTACCAATTAACCTATACCAAGGATAGTGAACCTATTATGACTCACGTGATCAAAATAGTATATAGAGATAATTTGCCTAACGTGCAATAAATCATAACGTTTTATTTATTTTTATTTTAAATATTTATTACTATAATTTATAAACTTGCAGTGTAACGCTTCGACGATGGGACATTCCAAAACCGTTCAAAACAACACATTTAAGCAATTAAATGACGTATGAAAATTATTTAATTTACTTTCAATTTAATTCATTTTAATATGAAAAAATATATACTTTAATTATTTTTATTTTAGGTGAAATTTTAGTTATATTCATTAACTCATATCAGCTCCATTTTTTTGTTTTTGGTCTCTATTTACTGAGAATATTAAACTTTATTTTATTTATAAACTGCCTAAAAATGAAAACTAAAAATAGTTAATGTAATATTTTTATTAAAGACAAAACTTTATAGTTTTTCCTGTAATACAAAGTACCATTTAACACAATAATAAAGATGCAATGAAAAATATACTTTATTGGTTATAAATTGAAGAATATTTAAATTAAATTATATCACGTGCGAATTATTAAGCATAATTTTTTATTAATATTTATAATATATAAATAATAAAAAAATATATTAAGCGACATTGTTACAGTGACTATAATTTTTGAAAGCAAAAAAAAAAATACGCTAAGTAATGAGGAAATTACGACATGAAAGTGAGTATATACACTATAAACAATACAACTAACTTTGATAATCTACTCTACAAATTTCCTACTAATTCCTTTAACAGGTTAAGGCTTTGTGGTATGATATTAAAATTTATTAGTATTTAAAATAGTCATTTATGCTTCGTATAGTTCATGCCTATAAATATATCTTATGCATGGTTTGTAATAACATGTCGCAATTACGAGTGTTATCCTAGCAGTTTCGTTTATAACTATGTTAAAAAAAGGGCCAATTTATGCTTATAGATTCACACATAGATCGTTAAAAGACACAATTGAAGTTTGTTTAATAATTTTTAATCAAGTGAACGGGATTATTACTTGTTTTCATGCGTAAATTAAAAAGCTTATATATATATATAAGCCAATATATATGATTATAATATATATATATATATATAGGCCTATATATATATTATAATCATTTAAAAACGAAAAATTTCGAATAATTTGCATAATAACAACACTACGTTAAATTGATTTGCTCTCTTTGACCTTAAATAAAACCCAATTTAATTACATTGATCTTAAGATTAATTATAATCAATTATTTTAAACGTCAATAATTTAAAAATGAACGGAATGTTTGGAGTAGAGAAACAAATAAACGTAAAATTCCGATAAATTAATGATGCGAAAACTTTTTCGATTTTCATAAAAATATGTTGCTAAAGTCTATTTATTTTTATTTATAAAATAAATTTAAGAAGAATTAGTGTCTAAAACCTTGTTCTTATTCACGTAATCATCTCTGACGTAATTATCGAACATCATTTAACGTCATAAATGCAATGATAGAGAAAGCACGCGACCTGTCTAACTGCAATCCATCTTAATTTAGTTTATTTGTTAGCCTGTTTTTTTTTTAGTGATTGATATAAATAATAGATAAAAATCTTTTCGTTTTAAGGCCACTAAGAGGGCCTTTTTTTCGTATCTATTGTAAGTTTAGGTAGGCACACAACAGTGGGTAGGGAGGGACCGGACGTATCCGAAATAGATCACCCCTCGAAAAATCCCTGGGGTTTTTCTATTGCATTATTCTATAGACAAAAAGATCAATCGTCTAGGGCCTCATCAACAGGGGTCCCAATAAATCGATTTTCAAATAACCCGTAAACAGTTAAGTTACGAAAAAGGAAAGAGAGAAATAGGCTATTTTACGATACCTTTCTGAAGAAAATTCCCTATTTTATCCTGTTTCTAACTGCTGATACAATCCTTGAACTGATTAATAAAATTATATATACAAAGCGGGTCATACTCTTATGATAGAAATTATATAGGTCTAGTGTTGTAGGCCTGTATATCAACCTACGTTAGACCCATATACGATATTTAATTTTATAATTATTACGCGATAGTGTTATATTTTTCTGGCCAAGATTTACGCGATGTTTTTTTATTTAGAAAAACGATTATGGAAACGTTATAAACTCAATTTTTATTTATTAAAAATTAAGCTTGTTTTCTGGCACATTTATTATACAGAAGATGAATTATAAACTTCGCGTATTGATGTAATTTATGGATGGTGAATGGGAAGGGGAACATTAATCGAAAGCATTAACGTTTTTTTCCAGTTGGAAGCTTTCCAAAATTCGTTGAAAATTGCAAAATGACGGTTTAAACTATTTATTAGTGTTAATAAAATATTACTTCGATTTAATCTTTCGCCGGAAATTCGAAATTTTAACCTTTCAACACGATTGTAAATTTTATTTATAAAAATAAGATCTTATAATGATTATTAATCTAATTAAATTTTGATGAATTTTTAGATTTTTTTTAATTTAATAAAAATTTAATTTCTTATAAACTAGGAAATATATTAGCGAGGTTGCGGCCGACGTTTTCATCTCTAAAACGTGAACGTCGAACGTCGAGCGCCGCTTACAAGATTGCGAAGCTCGACGTTCGACGTTCACGTTTTAGAGATGAAAACGTCGGCCGCAATCTGACTAATATAAATGTTGCCAGTTGTTACTATAGCCTATTTTTAAATTAATATACAGTAATCGTATCAAAGGAAAACCTGCTAATGAGACCACCTGCGTAAGGTGATCACATTAGCAGGTTTCACTGTATTTATATTTAAATGCAAAATCTATTAATATATTTTTTTTTTTACTTAAAATTTATGGAAATATTAAAAGCATTTTAGCCATTTCTACTCCTACGCATAACCCATATTTATAATATTTTAAACAAAAAAAAATATATATTAAACCGGTGTTTATTTTATTGTAATGACCCAGTTTTAGTTTATTTATTGGATTTCAATTGCTTATTGCAAAGAGATAATCATTTTCATTTTGATAATGTGGGCAATTTTAAGTACAGTATTTTAAATTATAGAAATTATTCATAAATTTTTGCAAGCTTCCATTTTACTTAGCTTCCATTTAAAAAGTAAATTACATTCATATTTAAGTATTATAATATTAATAAAAATATCTTGTGTGTGTGTGTATGCGTGTGCGTGCTGATCTTCATAACATAATTCAAAATTTTAAATAATTACTTCAAGCAATGGTATAAATAGTCCAAAACAATCTGCTTTTAAAGAGCTCCCAAGCATAAATTATTAGCTAAATTGTTTTTGTTTGTATAATGTTAATCGCATATCGTCTGAATTAATCATGCATTCATAATATTATTTAAAAATGTTATTAGACAATAACTATTTAGGAATTTAAAGATTTTTTATCTAAATACAGTATGAACATTTTTATACAAAAAAAAAAGTTGCTCCAGTTTATCAGAAATGGGAAATAATTCCTGAATTTTAAAAGGTTAACACTACACTATTTCATTATATTCTTGAATATTACTATTATATGTTCTATTTTTAAAATTTAGTTAAAATTATAATGTATCAATATTTTTATATTGCTGAAAAAATGATAGAATGGACTAATATTCGGGATAAAGTTCAAGTCACAACTTAGATTCATATCTCTCCCTAAATATATAAGGGTCTATGGATTCTATAATCTATATATTTTGAAGCAATTCACAAATAGACCTATTTAAGGAAAGGAAGCTTCCAAATTATAGTTTGTTTTAATACCTTTTTCTAAAAACTAGAGTAAAGTTTCAGTAATTTATATATTAATGTAAATCATTTTAAAATGACAATGGCTTTTCAAAGAACTGACTTTTAACTGGAAGATTGGAAGTTCCGTTCAACTAAAATGTCGCATACATCCTTAATGAAACTAATAATAATAATAATATAATCTATACGTTAGGTCTACACTACACTAAACCTAGATATAAATTATTTATTCTTATTTTAAAATTAAAAAATGTTTAAATTTATTTATGATTTAAAAAATAGAATGAGTTTAATCAATAGAAGAGAGGATAAGAAATCTATTAGCTACATTATTTTACAAACTGATTTCTATTAATTAATGCAGTGTGAAACCAGGTGTTGGCCTATTATACTTAAACTAAAATTCTACATACTAACCTGATTCTTTAAACAATTAAATTTTTGTTTTCAGTAAACGTGTTTGAAGAATATACATTTATATACCTTATTTTTTCCAAAAATATAAGTTTTATAAAATAAATAGTTTAGAAAATTTTAATTTAAGATTTATTTGAAACCATTGTTTTGTTACATCCTTTCTAGAAGAGATAAAAATGCTAATTTTATTTTCATTCAATATAAAGTAATCTTATTGAAATAATTGCATGGTAATAGTAAGGAAAAAAGTCACATTTACATAAAATAATATGGCTGAGCAGCCCATTATTGCCCACCAAATGTGTCTATCATTTATCCATTATATATATGACCAGAATAAATATTTAAAATCAAAATAATTTTCATAGTAGAAATCATATTCGAATTTGAACAGAAATATACTGTATTTTAATAAATTTATAGTTAAAAATACCAAAATATTATAATTATTGTTTAA